AAGTTTTGGGGCACAAAGAGATTTGGGGTGAGGAGCTGTGGTTTGGGGTCAGCGGGTGAGAATTGGGGCCGAGGCAGAGAAAGGTTGGGATCAATGGCCAAGGGCTGGGTGTGAGCTGGGGGTTTGGGGGAAGGGTCTGGGGAAAAGGGGCAGGGGGGGACACGGAGATGGGGACACAAACATCATCAGGACCTCAATTAGCAGAAGCACCACCATCACCAGTACCAACCGATTTTCCCCAAAAGTAGATGGCGGAATCCTCGTCCTTGAGGTTGTTCATGGTCAGCGTCACCGAGCTCTGCCCGTTGTTCCTGGAGATCGTAACCCGGCCCTTGAAGGATGGCGCATACTCGGTGTTACCACCACTGCTGATCCCCGTGAGCCATTCCAGCCCCTGCCTGGGTCTCTGGCGAAGCCAACTGAATCCAAAACTCCCAAAACTGAACTCGGACCCTCGGCAGAGGAGGCACAGGGACCCCCTGGGTGGCTGGACGTCCCCCCCACACTCCAGCAGGGTCACGGCTGTCCAGAGCCCCGCGGGACAAAGGGGAGATGGGGATGGACAAAGCTCAACCACTGACCCCAAAATCCTGATTCTTTGACCCAGAATTTTATCCTTGGGTCTCCCCATCTGCTTTCTCCCGCTGCTCCTGCTTGGACTCCAAGGTGGGTCCCACCCCTTTTTCCAGCCAACCACCCCCATTTTGGGGCTTTGGACCAATCAGGTTTCTCATTCCCATCTCCCCTTTGTCCCGCAGGGCTCCGGGCGGCCGTGACCCTGCTGGAGTGCGGGGGGGACCTACAGCCCCCTGGGGGGTCCCTGCGCCTCTTCTGCCGAGGGTCCGAGTTCGATTTTGGCAATTTTGCCATGAACTGGGTGCGCCAGAGACCCGAGCATGGGCTGGAGTGGCTCGCGAGCATCTACAGCAATGGTGGCAGCACATTCTACACGCCATCAGTCAAGGGCTGGTTCAGGATCTCCAGGGAAAACGGGCAGAGCTCGGTAATGCTGACCATGAACAACCTCAAGGACGAGGATTCCGGATCCTATTTCTGTGCCAAATCTGGTTATGCTAGTGATTGGGATCCTGTTCCTTATGCTGAAGACCTCAATGGTGGATCCACGCCCCCATCTCAGCGTCCCCTCCTGTCCCAAAACCCCCAACATTTCCCCCAATTCTCAGCCCTTGGCCCAACCTCGCCCGGGGGTCTCTGTCCCAATCCCCACCGGGACGGGGCTGTGGGGACCCCTCTGGAGCCGTTCGGTTTCCCACCATCGCTCCCCTCACCGGGCTGTGGCCATGGGGAGGTGCCGGTGGCTCACGGCCCTGGCAGCACAAACAGAACTCAATGGCGCCGCTCACCGCGAGAGGTTTGTGCCCAATGACACAAAGCAAAGGCAGATTGACACAGTGGGGCCAGATCTGGGACATCCTCGTCAGTTTTGGGGAATTGTTTGGGACGTGGAGTCCAGAGCTGAGGTTTGGGGCCAGGAAATGAGATTGGGGCAGAACCAGTTCAGAGCTGGGACACAGGGACAGGAATGGGGTCAGGGGCTGGGGACTGGGGGATGGGTCTGGGGAACGGGGACAGGTGGGGACACAGCCATGGGGATGGGGTCAACATTATAAGCATTATTCCGTGAATAATTATCAGCAGTTTTGGCGCAGAAATAGGATCCGGAATCCTCGTCCTTCAGGTTGTTCATGGTCAGCGTCACCGAGCTCTGCCCGTTGTCCCTGGAGATCCTCACGCGCTCCTTGAATGACGCCCCGTAGTGGGCGATGGAACCGTCCCTGCTGATCCCTGCGACCCACTCCAGTCCCTGCCCGGGTCTCTGGAGCATCCAGAACATTCCATTGCTCCCGAAATCGAGCCCGGATGATGGGGATGAGAAACCTGATTGGTCCAGAGCCTCCTAGTGGGCAAGGCCAGCTGTAAAAAGGGGCGGGACCCACCTGGGAGGAGGAGGATGAACTCCAAGGCTCCCAGTTTGGGGCCGATAGTTAGGACGTGGGTCAAGGATGGAGCTTTGGCCTCATCCGCATCTCCCCTTTTTCCCGCAGGGCTCCGGGCGGCCGTGACCCTGCTGGAGTGCGGGGGGGACCTCCAGCCCCCCGGAGGCTCCCTGCGCCTCCTCTGCCGAGGGTCCGGGTTCAGTTTTGGCAGTTTTGGCTGGCATCGCCAGAGACCCGGGCAGGCACTGGAGTGGCTTGCAGGGATCAGCAGTGGTGGTGCCAACACCTTCTACGTGCCATCGTTAAAGGGCCGGTTCATGATCTCCAGGGACAACGGGCAGAGCTCGGCGACGCTGACCATGAACAACCTCAAGGACGAGGATTCCAGATCCTATTTCTGTGCCAAATGTTACAGCAGTGGCTGTGGTAATGGCGCTTATGATTATGGTGTTGATTGTGGTTGTGGTCCCGAGCCCTTTTTTCTGAGTTCCCAAGTATCACAAAATTATCTGATCCTTCCCCAAAATCCTAGCCCTTCTCCTGAAATCTCAGCCCTTTTCCCCCAAACTCTGCCCCTGCTGCCCAACTCTCGCATTTCCCCCAGTTTTGCCCATTTCGCCCAAATCTCCCCCAGCTCCCCGGGTCCTGATTGGAGGAGGCCTGACCTGAAGACCAGGGGTGAAGTTTTGGGGCCAATGGTTGAGTGTTGGGACAGGAGCAGGGGAGGGTTGGGGTCAGTGCTGACCATTGGGGCAAATGGGGGAGATTTGGGACAAAGGGTCAAGGGCTGATGTTTGGGGGAATCGTCTGAGGACTGGGGACATTTGGGAACCCATCTAGAAAGGCAGGGCTGAAAACAACATCAATACAATAGGCTTCGTAATTAGAACCAGCATAAGGAGATTTTGCACAGAAATAGGATCCGGAATCCTCATCCTTGAGGTTGTTCATGGTCAGCGTCACCGAGCTCTGCCCGTTGTCCCTGGAGATCGTGAACCGGCCCTGCACTGATGGAGGGTACGCGGTGTAGGAACCACTGCTGATCCCTGCGACCCATTCCAGAGCCTGCCCCTGTCTCTGGTGGATCCACATAATTCCAGACTGTCCGAAATCGAACCCGGATCCTCAGCAGAAGAGGCGCAGGGACCCCCGGGGGGCTGGAGGTCCCCCCCGCACTCCAGCAGGGTCACGGCCGCCTGGAGCCCTGCGGGACAAAGGGGAGATGGGGATGAGAAACCTGATTCGCTGTGGGCCCTAAGTGGATGTGGCCAGCTGGAAAAAGGGATGAGACCCACATGGGAGGGTGACCAGGAGCAGGAGGAGAATAACAACTTGTCACAACCTGGTGCAAATAGCTGGGACGTTGGGGTCAAGGGTTGAGCTTTGGCCATCCCCATCTCTGTTGGGATGGGCGAGAGAAACGTGGCACGCGATATGAGTGATCAGCAAATCTTGAACTTTATTGACAGGCACACATCTTTATATCGGTGTTAATGGGGCTCATGCGTATTGCAAAGGCGAGCTCACCATTGGTCGGTTAATTATCAGCCAACTGCGCCTCCTTCTGCAATCTTGTGGATATTTTATTGAAACTTCTCTTCGTATTTCTGCCAAAGATGTTCTCCCCTTTTCCTCCTGCTGCACCAAGGGCACAATGTTTTCGCCTGTCATTGGACACTGGCTGCTGGCTCCTGTAATTGTCCCCTTCAAGCTTAACCAGCGGCATTATGTCGATGTCGCCTTTAACAGCCAACCAGCTGTCCACAAAGCTCTCCACACTTCGCCCCTTTGTCCCGCAGGGATCCGGGCGGCCGTGACCCTGCTGGAGTGTGGGGGGGACCTCCAGCCCCCCGGGGCATCCCTGCGCCTCCTCTGCCGAGGGTCTGGGTTCAGTTTCAGCAGTGTTGGGGTGCAATGGATCCGCCAGAGGCCCGGGCAGGTGTGGGAATACGTTGCTGGTATTGATGTTGGTTTCAGCCCTGCCTTTCTTGATGGGTTCCCAAATGCCCCGAGTCATCAGACCCTGCCCCCAAACCTCAGCCCTTGGCCCCTTGTCCCAAATCTCCCCCATTTGCACCAATGGTCAGCACTGACCCCAAACCCTCCCCTGCTCCTGCCCCAAAACTCAACCATTGGCCCCAAATCCTCACCCCTGGCCTCCAGTTCAGGCCTCCTCCCATCAGGGCCCGGGGAGCTGGGGGAGATTTGGGTGAAATGGGCAAAACTGGGGGAAAGCGTAGAGTTGGGGCAGCAGGGGCGGAGTTTGGAAGGAACTGGTGAAGATTTGATGAACAGAGCTGGGAGTCGGGGCAGGATCTCTGGGGATTTGTGGGCACTTGGGACTGCAATGGAGCAGGGGCCATGGCAGGAATTGTCAATACGAGCAGGACCAGCAGAACCAAAACCATTACTGCTACGTTTGGCGCAGAAATAAACGGCGGAATCCTCGTCCTTGAGGTTGTTCATGGTCAGCGTCACCGAGCTCTGCCCTTTGTCCCTGGAGATCGTGACCCGGCCCTTGACCGATGGCGCGTAGTAGGTGTTGGCAAAATTGTAGTAGATGCTTGCGAAGTATTCCAAAGCCTGCCCGGGTCTCTGACGGATCCAGATCATGGAGAAACTCCCGAAATCGAACCTGGACCCTCGGCAGAGGAGGTGCAGGGACCCTCTGGGGGGCTGGAGGTCCCCCCCTCACTCCAGCAGGGTCACGGCCGCCCGGAGCCCTGCGGGACAAAGGGGAGATGGGGATGAGAAACCTGATTGGTCGAAGGCCTCTTAGTGGGCAAGGCCAGCGGGAAGAAGGGGCAGGACCCACCTGGGAGGAGGATGATGAAATTCAAGGGTCCCGGTTTAGGGCCAACTGTCAGGATTTGGGTCAAGGGTTGAGCTTTGGCCCCATCCCCATCTCCCCTTTGTCCCGCAGGGCTCTTGGCGGCCGTGACCCTGCTGGAGTTCGGGGGAGACCTCCAGCCCCCCGGGGGGTCCCTGATCCTCCTCTGCCTGGGGTCTGGGTTCGATTTTGAAAAATTTGACCTGTTCTGGATGCATCAGAGACCTGGGCAGGGGCTGGAATTCATCGCCAGCATCTACTACGGCAGTGGGGGTTACACCTTCTACGCGCCGTCGGTGCAAGGCCGGTTCACAATCTCCCGGGACAATGGGCAGAGCTCCATGTCCCTGACCATGACCAACCTCAAGGACGAGGATACCAGATCCTATTTCTGCGCCAGATCTGCTCCTGGTTACTATAATTATGGTGCTGGTTATACTGACGGTGAAGGTCACCCCATCCCCAACCAGCATTAGGAGCAGCACCATAACCATCAGCATCCTTGGCACAGAAATAGGATCTGGAATCCTCATACTTGAGGTTGTTCATGGTCTGCGTCACCGAGCTCTGCCTGTTGTCCCTGGAGATCCTGAACCGACCCTGCACCGACGGCACGTAGTAGGTGGCACCATTGCTCCAGATCGCTGCGATCCATTCCAGCCCTGCCTGGGTCTCTGGTGCATCCAGCCCATCCCAAAACTGCCAAAATCGAACCCGGACCCTCGGCAGAGGAGGCACAGGGACCCCCTGGGGGGCTGGAGGCCCCCCCGCACTCCAGCAGGGTCACGGCCACGCGGAGCCCATCCCCAAACCTTCACCAATTTCTCCCATAACTCCCCTTGTTTGGTCCCAAAACCCCCCCAGAGTTTTCCATATCTCAACATGCCTCAAAACCTGCAATTAACCCCAATCCATTCTTTTATTACTTAGACACCTCATCCTGAGCATTCTGCATTGATTGCACAGTTAATACACCGTGAACGACACCCAATTCCCCCTGGGATCCCAACCCGGCACATCCCGGCCTTGGCCTCGAGCTCCCTTCCGGCTCCTGGCCCTGCTGCTCCTGCTGCCCCTCCCAGGTGGCCCTGCCTCTTTTTCCTGGAAGTGACTCCCCTTTTCCCCTTCTGGACCAATCAGATTTCCCATCCCCATCTCCCCTTTGTCCCGCAGGGCTCTGGGCGGCCGTGACCCTGCTGGAGTGCGGGGGGGGAACTCCAGCCCCCCAGGGGGTCCCTGTGCCTTCTCTGCCGAGGGTCCGGGTTCAGTTTCTGGAGTTTTGGGATGGGCTGGGTGCGCCAGAGACCCAGGCAGACACTGGAATACATCGCAGCTATACGCAACAGTGACAGCACCTAGTACGCGCCATCGGTCAAGGGCCGGTTCAGGATCTCCAGGGACAACGGGCAGATCTCGGTGACACTGACCATGAACAACCTCAAGGACGAGGATTCCGCCGCTTATTTCTGTGCCAAATGTTACACCAGTTGTTGTGGTAATGCTGCTTATGCTTATGGTGTTGATGGTGGTTGTGGCCTTAAGCCCTTTCTTCTGTGTTTCCACAAATCACAGCATTCTCATATCCTTCCCCAAAATCCCGGCTCTTTTTCTCACATCTCAGATATTTTCCCCCAAACTCCACCATCACTTCCGCAATTCCCAATTTCCCCCCAATTTTCCCCATTCCTCCACAGTCTGTCCCTTCCCCTCCGTCCCAGTGTGGAACGGGGATCGCTCCAGGGCCCTTTGCACACAAAGCTTTTTGTGCAGCCGGCGCTCTGCCGCAGCACCCAGAGGCTGAGCTGCCCTCTGCCAAACACAGATGTTCACAATGACCAAAACCAGGAACTCTCTGTTTCCTTTCCCACCCCAGCCGTGCCGTAGCAGCTGCCGGGGAGGAAGTGGGGGGAGGCTGCGGAGCCCCAAAATCACGGCGTCTTCTCCTCCCTCCCTCCCTCCGTCACTCCCACCTGGTGCTTCACTTCTCCCTCAGCGGCCTCGGTGTCTGGGGCTGCTCCTTGGGGCTGGGCTGGAATCCTCTCAGGGACCTATGGAGAAAAAACCCTTTTTTTTTCCCAAAAACACATGAAAGTTAGGGGAGATGAAATTGTTGAAATTGATCTCGAGGCAAGGGCTCCTTGCTGAGAGAAGCAGATGGGTGCAAGGGTGGAGTCACCTGGAACGTTCCATCGGTGCAGGGCAGGGTCAGAATGGCCTACTAGAGCTCAGGAGCCCGAATGGACCCGAGTGGGCCCCGAGCTGAGGTGTGGGGCCAGGAGCTGAGAATGTGGGGCAGAGTCAGGGCAGGATTGGGGCACGGGGACAGGAATGGGGTCAGGGGCCTGGGGATTGGGGAAGGGTCTGGGACAGGTGAGGGCAAGTGGTGAAAAAGCTATGGGGGTGGGGCCATTACCATAGGCATCATTGTCACCAGCAGTAGCACCAGCACCCTTGGAACAGATATAGGATCCGGAATCCTCGTCCTTGAGGTAGTTCATGGTCAGTGTCACTGAGCTCTTCCCGTTGTCCCTGGAGATCGTGAACTGGCCCTTGACCGATGGCGCGTACTCGGTGTAAGCACAATTGCAGCTGATCCCTGCGAGTCACTCCAGCCCCTGCCCGGGTCTCTGACGGACCCAGCTCATTCCAAAACTGCCAAAACTGAACCCGGACCCTTGGCAGCGGAGACGCAGGGAGCCCCGGGGGGCTGGAGGCCCTCCCCGCACTTCAGCAGGGTTACGGCCACCCGGAGCCCTGTGGGACAAAGGGGAGATGGGGATGAGGCCAAAGCTCAACCCTTGACCCAAATCCTGACCCTTGGCCCCACATTGGGATCTTTGGTTTTCATCATCCTTCTCCAGGAGGGTCCCGCCACTTTTTCGAACTGGCCAAACCCACCTTGAGTCCCTGGACCAATCAGGTTTCTCATCCCCATCTCCCCTCTGTCCCGCAGGGCTCCGGGCGGCCGTGACCCTGCTGGAGTGCGGAGGGGACCTCCAGCCCCCCGGGGGGTCCGTGCGCCTCCTCTGCCGCACCTCTGGGTTTGATTTCGAAAAATTTGCTATGCTGTGGATCTGCCAGAGACCTGGGCATGGGCTGGAATGGGTGGCGGGGATCAGCAGAAAAATTGGAAGCATCTACTATGCGGACTCCGTCAAAGGCCAGTTCACTAAGGTGAGCGACAACGGGCAGAGCTCGCTGACACTGACCATGAACAACCTCATGAACGAGGATTCCGGTTCCTATTTCTGTGCAAAAAGTAGTGGTGATTTGTTGTAGAGGTGCTGCTGCTCTTGATACAACTGATCCAATCACTGGGGCCCTGTCTGCATCCCCGCACCCCAGACCCTTCCGCCAAATCCCATTCCTCACCCTGTGTCCCAGCCCTGCTCTGGCTCTGCCCTAAATGTCCCCTTTGGGCCACTCTCAGTGCCCTCGATCTCCAAATGTCCCCGAAATGCCTGGATTTGGGCCCAAAGTTAGGATAAGGGATCAAGAATTCAAATTTGACCCAAAATTCCTGATGTGAGGCCAACGGGCAGATTTGGGTGGGTGGCTGTGACTCGGTGCCCGCAGGGGAGATTTGGGGTAAAATTGAACAAGTCCGGGGGCGCAGTGGTTGGGATAGGAGGGATGAGGCCGAGCTCAGAGTGAAACTGGCCCTGATTTGGGTCCAGAAGCTGAGATTTGGGGCCAGAGCAGGGCAGAGCTGGGACACGGGGACAGGAATGGGGTCAGGGGCTGGGGTTTGGGGAAAGAATTTGGAAAATGGGGACAAGTGGGGAAACACCAATGTCGATGGGGACAAAAGGATTCGCAGTAACAGCCCAACCAGCGCCTGCATATTTGGCACAGAAATAAGATCCGGAGTCCTCGTCCTTGAGGTTGTTCATGGTCAGTGTCACCGAGCTCTGCCCGTTGTCCCTGGAGATCCTGAACCGACCCTTGACCGACGGCGCGTACCAGGTGCTGCCAACATTGCTGGTGATCCCTGCGACATATTCCAGCCCCTGCCTGGGTCTCTGGCGCATCCAGTACATGTCAAAATTCCCGAAACTGAACCCGGACCCTCGGCAGAGGAGGCGCAGGGACCCCCCGGGGGCCTGGAGGTCCCCCCTGCACTCCAGCCGGGTCACGGCCGCCCGGAGCCCTGCGGGAAGAACGGGTGATTAAAAATGAGTAATCTGATTGGTCGTGGGCTTCAGAGTGGGCGTGGCCAGTGGGAAAACGGGGCAGGACCCACCTGGTAAGGGCAGCAGGATCAGCAGGGCCAGGAGCCGGAGGGAGCTCAAGGCCGTGGCTTGGATGTGACAGGGTTGGGGTCTTGGAACGTTTTGGCGGTCGTTAATACGATATTACTTTTGAAGTCAATGTGGAAAACTGAGGAGCAGGTGTCCAATTAATTAATGAGAATATTGAATTAAATTGCAGGGTTTGAGAAACCTTAGGATACCAGAAAAATCTGGTGGAGATTTGGGACCAAAGAGGGGGAGTTATGAGTGAAATTCGTGAAGATTTGGGGATGGGCTCTGGGCGGCCGTGACCCTGCTGGAGTGCGGGGGCGACCTCCAGCCCCCCAGGGGTTCCCTGCGCCTCCTCTGCCGAGGGGCCGGGTTCGCTTTCGGGAGTTATGGAATGTTCTGGATCTGCCAGAGACCCGGGCAGACACTGGAATACATCGCCAGTACCAGCAGCAGTGGTGGCAGCACCGGCTACGCACCTTCAGTCAAGGGCCGGGTCACGATCTCCAAAGACAACGGGCAGAGCTGGGTGATGCAGACCATGAACAACCTCAAGGACGAGGATTCCGCCACCTATTTCTGTGCCAAATCTACTTATGGTGGTGGTGCTGATGCTGCTGCTAATATTGACCCTGCCGGTGGTCACACCACCATTTGTGAGCCCTTCTTGTCCCCAGTCCCCAGACCCTTCCCCAAATCACTGCTCTTAGCCCCATTCCTGAGCCTTTCCCAGCGATCTCCCCCATTTTCAGCAACGCCAACCATGGAGCCAAAAAGCCCCGACAGGTTCTGCCCCAAACAAGGAAAGTTTGCAGCAAAATTCACCCCAAATCTCCCCGATGTCTTCAAATCCCCTCCAGCTCCCGGGCCCTGATTGGAGGAGGCCTGAATTGGAGGCCATGGGTGAAGGTTTGGGGCCAATGGTTCAGATTTGGGGCAGGAGCATGGCAGGGTTTGGGGTCAGTGCTGACCATTGGTGTAAACGGGCACAAAGGATGAAGATCTGAGTCAATGGGTGAGGTTTGGGATGAAAATCAGAGCTTTGGGAATAAAATGATGAGACCAGAGCAAATACCAGGAGCTTCACACCATCACAGGCACCATCACCATGACTAACAGGAGCCCAACAACCAGCACAAAAAGCTTTGGCACAGAAATAGGATCCGGAATCCTCGTCCTTGATGTTGTTCATGGTCAGCGTCACCGAGCTCTGCCCGTTGTCCCTGGAGATCTTGAACCGGCCCTAGACCGATGGCGTGTAGTAGGTGCTGCCACATTTGCTGATACTTGCAACTGGCTCCAGCTTCTGCCCGGGACTCTGGCGCAACCACTGCATGCCAAAACTGCCAAAATTGAACCCGGACCCTCGGCACAGAAACGTCAGGGACCCCCCGGGGGGCTGGAGTTCCCCCCTGCACTCCAGCAGGGTCACGGCCACCAGGAGCCCTGCGGGACAATGGGGAGAGGATGGAAAAAAGGACTCAGATTGGTCCAGAACACGAAAAGGGGCATGGCTTGCAGAAAAAATTGGCAGGACCCACTTGAGAGGGCAGTCGAGGGAGGATGTGGAGGCAGAAGTGTCAAAATTTGGGGCCCAGAGTCAGGGTTTGGGTCAAGGGTTGAGCTTTGGCCTCATCCCCATCTCCCCTCTATCCCGCAGGGCTCCGGGCGGCCATGACCCTGCTGGAGTGCGGGGGGGACCTCCAGCCCCCCGGGGGGTCCCTGCACCTCCTCTGCCGAGGGTCCGGGTTCAGTTTCGGGAGTTTCACCATGTACTGGATCCGCCAGAGACACGGGCAGACGCTGGAATTCGTCGCAGCGATCAAGAAAGATGGATCCAGCTACGCCTACGGATCATCAGTGCAGGGTCGTTTCAGGATCTCCAGGGACAACGGGCAGAGCTCGGTGACGCTGACCATGAACAACCTCAAGAACGAGGATTCCGGTTCCTATTTCTGCGGGAAAGCTGCCTATGATACTTGGGGTGCTGCTGCTGATGGTATTGACCCCATCCCCATGGCTGTGTCCCCACCTGTCCAGGTTCCCCAGACCCTTCTCCCAAACCCTGCCCCTGACCCCATTTCTGACCCCATCTCCCAACCCTGCCCTGGCTCTGCCCCAAATTCTCCACTCTCAACCACAAAGTTTACTGAAATCTTAACCCATGACCAGAAGTATCCACTTTCAGAATCAAGTTTTGGGTGCAGAGTGGAGATTTGGGGTCAGGAGTTGTTGTTTGGGGTCAGCGGGTGAGAATTGGGGCCGAGGCAGAGCAAGGTTGGGATCAATGGTCAAGGGCTGGGTGTGGGCTGGGGGTCTGGGGGAAGGGTCTGGGCAATGGGGACAGGGGGACACGAGGAGATGGGGACAGTACAAGCACCATCAATATAATCAGCAGGAGCACCACCACCACCAGGAGCTTTGACACAGAAATAGGATCCGGAATCCTCGTCCTTGAGGTTGTTCAGGGTCAGCGTCACCGAGTTCCACCCGTTGTCCCTGGAGATCGTGACCTGGCCCTTGACCGATGACGCGTACTCGGTGTAACCTCCACTGTCACTGATCCTTGCGATGTACTCCAGCCCTTGTCCAGGCCTCTGTCGATACCAGCCCATGCCAAAACTGCCAAAATCGAAGCCGGACCCTCGGCAGAGGAGGCGCAGGGATCCCCCGGGGGGCTGGAGGTCCCGCCCGCATTCCAGCAGGGTCACGGCCGCCCTGAGCCCTGCGGGACAAAGGGGAGATGGGGATTGGGCCAAAGCTCAACCCTTGACCCCAATCCTGACTCTTGGCCCAAAATTGGGACCCTTGGAGTTTATCACCCTCCCCCCAGGAGGATTCTACCCCTTTGTCCAGCTGGCCACACCCACTTGGAGGCCCTTGACCTATCAGACTTTTGATTTCCATCCTCTCCCCTTTTTCCTGCAGGGCTCCAGGTGGCTGTGACCCTGCTGGAGTGCAGGGGGGACCTCCTGCCCCCCAGGGGGTCCCTGCGCCTCCTCTGCCGAGGGGCCGGGTTCAGTTTCAGTAGCTACGACATGTTCTAGGTGCGCCAGAGACCCAGGCAGGGGCTGGAATGGCTCGCGTGGATCAGGAACGATGGTGGCAACTCCGGCTACGCGGATTCAGTCAAGGGTCGGTTCACGATCTCCAGGGACAACGGGAAGAGCTCGGTGACGCTGACCATGAACAACCTCCAGGACGAGGATTCCGGGTCCTATTTTTGCGCCAAATGTTACAGCAGTGGTTGTGGTCCTAATATTGATGCTTGTTATTATGACGATGCCAGTGGTGGCCCCTCCTCGATGCTGTGCCCACAAACATCCCAAAACCCCACATTCTACCTCCAAATCTTTAGTGTTGGCCACAAATCTTGACCGTTTTCCCCAATCTCCCCAATCACTGTCTCACCTCACACATTTCCATGGGGCTTTCAGAATTTGAAATGATTCTCAAAGGTTCATCCCCAAAACCGTGCCCTGTGTTCCCCAGATCACAGCGGGGTTCACTTGTGACCATTGGCTCCAAACTCTGCTGGTTGTGCCCCAAATCTCTGCTCTCGGCCCCTAACCTCAGCTCTTGGCTACAAGGCTCAACCAAGGTCCCCCAAACCTGGGTGCAAATGGTCAAGATTTAGGAAAAATGGTCCAGATTTGGGTCTGTGGGGGTCAACAATGGGGTCAAGGGTAGGGGGGAAGGACCTGGGGAACGGGGACAGGTGGGGACACACGGATGTGGCCAGGACCAAAAGTAGAACCAGCAGCATGAGCCTCCCAACCCCAACCATCATAGGCGTTTTTGACACAGCAATAGGATCCGGAATCCTCGTCCTTGAGGTTGTTCATGGTCAGCGTCACCGAGCTCTGCCCGTTGTCCCTGGAGATCCTGACTGAGCCCTTGAACGATGGCACATATCTGGGGGTGGAACCAGCACCGTTGATCCCTGCGACGAATTCCAGCCACTGCCCAGGTCTCTGGCAGATCCAGAACATTGCAGATTTTGTGAAATTGAAGCCAGAGGTGTGGCACAGCAACGTCAGGGACCCCCAGGGGGGGCTGGAGGTCCCCCCTGCACTCCAGCAGGGTCATGGCTGGCCGGACCCCTGCAGGACAAAGGGGAGATGGGGTTGGGGAGCTGGATTGGTTTTGGACCCAAAGTGGGCGTCGCCATGCCAGAAAAAGGGTGTGGGATCCACCTGGGAGGGCCAGCAGGTGCTGCAGGAGGAGGATGGGGCCGTCCAAGGGTCCCAATTTGGGGCCAACATCAGGATCTGCCTGCAAGAATTAAAATTTGGGTAGTTTTTTTATTCCTCACCATCTCCCTTTTGTCCCGCAGGGCTCTGGGCGGCCGTGACCCTGCTGGAGTGCGGGGGCACCTCCATCCCCCCGAGGGGTCCCTGAACTTGCTGTGCCGTGCCTCTGGGTTCAGTTTTGGGACTTATGGAATGTTCTGGATCCACCAGTGACCCCGGCAGGGGCTGGAATACATCGCCAGTATCAGCAGCAGTGGTGGCAGCACCGACTGCGCACCGTCGGTCAAGGGCCAGGTCACGATCTCCAGGGACAACGGGCAGAGCTCGGTGACGCTGACCATGAACAACCTCAAGGACGAGGATTCTGGATCCTGTTTCTGTGCCAAAGCTGCTGGTAGTGGTTATGGTGGTGGTGCTGCTGCTTATAGTGACGATGGCCGTGGTGGATCTGTCCCCATCTCTGTGTCCTCACCTGTCCCCAAACCCAGACCCTTCCTTCAAATTGTCCCCCACACCTCAGCCCTTGACTCTTTGTTCCAAATCTCCCCCATTTGCAACAATGGTCAGCACTGACCCCAAACCCTCCCCTGCTCCTGCCCCAAAAATCAACCATTGGCCCCAAACCTTCAAGCCTGGGCTCCAGTTCAGGCCTTGCTCTCCAAGAGTTCCCATTTCTGCCTGTGCCAACTCAGCCAATCAGGGCCTGGGGAACTGGGGGAAATTTGGGTGAAATGGGCAAATCTGGGAAAACATCAGGAATTCGGACAGCAATAGTGGAAACTGGGGAGTAAGGTCAAGAAAGGGGTCAAGGGTTGGGATTTGGGAGAAGTAATTAGGGAAATTTTGGGAACTCGGGCTGCGGCCTTGGGACGATGCTGAGGATTGTCACCATAAGCAACAGCAGCACGATTCCAACCACCATCACTGCATCTGGCACAGAAATAGGATCCGGAATCCTCGTCCTTGAGGTTGTTCATGGTCAGCGTCACCGAGCTCTGCCCGTTGTCCCTGGAGATCGTGACCTGGCCCCTGAACGATGGATCGTAGTAGGTGCTGCCATCGCTTTGGATCCCTCCAATGTGTTCCAGCCCCTGCCCAGGTCTCTGGCGCATCCAGCCCATCCCAAATTGTCCAAAATCGAACCCGGACCCTCGGCAGAGGAGGTGCAGGGACCCCCCAGGTGGCTGGAGGTCCCCCCCGCACTCCAGCAGGGTCACGGCTTCTCCCGCATCCCCAAACCTTCACTGGTTTGCCCCAAATTCCCTTTTTCTCGCCCCAAATCTCCAACAGAGATTTCCAGAATTGTAAAGTGCTTTAAGCCCTGCAATGAGCCCCAGTCCACTCATTAATTAATTGGACAGCTCTGCCTGACTTTTGCAACCCCTCATCCCCATCTCCGCTTTGTCCCGCAGGGCTCCGGGCGGCCGTGACCCTGCTGGAGTGAGGGGGGGACCTCCAGCCCCCCGGGGGTTCCCTGTGCCTCCTCTCCCAAGGGTCCGGGTTCAATTTCGGGAGTTATAAAATGTTCTGGGTCCGCCAGAGACCTGGGCAAGGGCTGGAATTTGTTGCAGATATCAGCAACACTGGTGGCTCCACCGAGTATGCGCCATCGGTCAAGGGCCAGGTCACGATCTCAAGGGACAACGGGCAGAGCTCGGTGATGCTGACCATGAACAACCTCAAGGACGAGGATTCTGGATCCTATTTCTGTGGGAAATGTGCTTATACTGGTGGTTGCAGTTCTGATGCTGGTGCTATTGATGTGCCGGGCTTGGCCCCATTCCCCAACCAGCATTGCAGGAGCATCCGGGCGAAGAACGGTCAGGACAGACGGATGGACACGAGAGATCTCTGCAGCCAGGTTGTGGCATTTGGGGTTTATTGCAAAGGACGAACTGCAGGGCCCTGCTGGGAGCTGCCAGGCACAGCTGGAGCAGGGCTGGGAGAAGAGAGGGGAGAGAGGATGAGAGGGGGAGAGAGTAAGAGAGTAAAAAAGGTAAATGAGTAAAAGGGTGAGAGAATAAAAAGGGTAAGAGAGTGAAAGAGTCAGTGCATAAAATGGTAAGAGTGTAAAAGGGTAAGAACATAAAACTCTAAGAGCATAAAAGGGTAAGAGAGTGAGGTTCCGACCACAATACAATAAATCTTCTTCTCTGTTGAATATTCTAATTCTCACTAACCAATCTGGTCCAATATACAAATCCCTCAGCATTTACATACAGCCTATAAGAATCGTTTCATTACCGTACTGTGTTACATTTTAAACCCTAAAAATTGGTCTTTGGGACCCTTCTGCTAAGACTAAAACCTACTCTTTGGAAACCCTAAAAACTCCTTTTTGGAGAAACTTTAAACCCTAAAAACTCCTTTTTGGAGTAACTTTAAAACCTAAAAACTCTTCTCTGGGGTAACTTTAAACCCTAAAAACTCTTCTTTGGCCCCTTCTGCCAAGCTGTGGGGTCTGCTCTGACCCTTGGAGCTGTCTGCAGGCAGAGGGTGTTGTTCCATCAAAATGGGATCACCTTCAGCCGGCCACACCGTTGTTTTCCTGTTGTTCAGTAACTGAGGGATCTCAAAGCTTGCTTTCATTTCAATCTCGCTGATGGTTTCCATATTCTCAAAATCTTTTGCCAGGCAATCCTATTGATAAGGCTTTGCTGTTCCATCTTCCCCAACCAGCATCAGCATAAGCATCGTGACCATCGTTGTCCTTGGCACAGAAATAGGATCCGGAATCCTCGTCCTTGAGGTTGTTAATGGTCAGCATCACCGAGCTCTGCCCATTGTCCCTGGAGATCCTGAACCGGCCCTTGACTGAATCTGCGTTCCTGGTGACGCCACCACTGCTGGTGATGGTTCCAAGCCACTGCAGCCCCTGCCTGGGTCTCTGGCGGATCCAGGCCATCCCAAAATTCCCAAGACTGAACCCGGACCCTCGGCAGAGGAGGCGCAGGGACCCCCCGGGGGGCTGGAGTTCCCCCCCACACTCCAGCAGGGTCACGGCCGCCCAGAGCCCTGCGGGACAAAGGGGAGATGGGGATGAGGAACCTGATTGGTCAAGGGACTCAAAGTGGCTGTGGCCTGCTGGAAAAGAGTCGGCACCCATTTTGGGGAAGGATGAGAAGGTCTAGGGGTCAGAATTTGGGGCCAATAATCAGAATTTTGGTCAAGGGTTGAGCTTTGGCCTCATCCCCATCTCCCCTTTTTCCCACAGGGCTCCGGGCGGCTGTGACCCTGCTGGAGTGTGGGCGGGACCTCCAGCCCCCCGAGGGGCCCCGGCGCCCCCTCTGCCGAGGGTCCGGGTTCGATTTTTACAGCAATTTTGCCATGAATTGGATCTGCCAGAGACCCGGGCAGGGGCTGGAATGGCTCGCTGGAACCTACAAAACTGGTTCCAGCACCTACTACACGCCATCGGTCAAGGGCCGGTTCATAATCTGCAGGGACAACGGGCAGAGCTCGGTGACGCTGACCATGAACAACCTCAAGGATGAGGATTCTGCCACCTATTTCTGTGCCTAATCTTCTGACTGGTGCTGCTCTTGGTGCTGTTTTTGCTGTTAGTGTTGGTGTTTAGGGTTTCAGCCCCGTTGCTGTCCCCAGCTTTCCCCAGACCCTTCCCCAAATCCCCCTGACCCACCCCTGACCCTCTGTCCCAACCCCGCCCCCTTTGCCCCAACGCTGCCCATTGGCCCAAAACCCTGCCCTGGGTCTGGCCCCAAACTCAACTCTCGGCCCCAAATCTCCCCCTCGTGCCCCAAAGCTGCCCCAAGGGCCGAGATTTGGGCACAGCGGGTGAGGTTTGGGTCAGCGGCTGCGGCTGGGAGCCCAGAGTGGGGATTTGGGGCAGAATCGGGCAAGTTTTGGGGCAAAGCAGGAGGATTTGGGGCAGAACCAGTTTCTGGGTTATGGGCCTTTGGTCACCATTGGTGGGAATGGGGCAGATCTGGGCAAATGGGTCGAGAATGAGGTCAAGGGCTGAGATTTGGGTAAAGGCTCTGAGATTTGGGGACAGGAGGGGCTCAGGCAAGGGTGCTGCCACCACCGGCACAGTCAATGCAAGCAGCATCAGAAGCGCCACCACTGTAAGCACATTTCCCATAGAAATAGGATCTGGAATCCTCGTCCTTGAGGTTGTTCATGGTCAGTGTCACCGAGCTCTGCCCGTTGTCCCTGGAGATTGTGACCCGGCCCTTGACTGATGGTGAGTAGTTGGTGCCTCCACCACTGCTGCTGATACTGGTGATGTATTCCAGCCCCTGCCTGGGTCTCTGGCAGATCCATCCCATCCCAAAACTGCCAAAACTGAACACGGACCCTCGGCAGAGGAGGCGCAGGGACCCCCCGGGGGCTGGAGGTCCCCCCCCGCACTCCAGTAGGGTCATGGCCACCCGGAGCCCTGCGGGAAAAAGGCGAAATGGGGATAAAAAACCTGATTTGTCCAGAAGGGGAAAAGGGGTGTGACTTCCAGGAAAAAGGGGGGGACCCAGCTGGGAGGGCCAGCAGGAGCAGCAGGGCCAGGAGCCGGAGGGAGCACGTGGCCAAGGCCAGGTTGTGCCCAGGGGCTTTGGGGGTTGGGGTCCTGGGTGGTTTGGGGGCTGTTAATAAGCTATTACTTTTGAAATCAATGTGGAACACTCAGGAAAAGGTGTCCAATTATTAATGAGAATATTGACTTAACTAGCAGGGTCTGAGGAACCTCAGGATACCTGAAAAAATCTGGTGGAGATTTGGGTCCAAACCAGTGAAGTTATGAGTGAGATTGGTGAGGATTTGGGGAAGGACTCCGGGCGGCCGTGACCGTGCTGGAGTCCGGGGAGGACCTCCAGCCCCCCGCGGGGTCCCTGACATTGCTGTGTCGAGAGTCTGGGTTCAGTTTTGGGAGTTTTGCCCTACAATGGGTCCGACAGAGACCCAGGCAGGGGCTGGAATTCGTCGCCTACATCCGCAGCGGAGGCAGCACCTGGTATGCGCCATCGGTGAAGGGCCGGTTCATGATCGCCAGGGAAAAGGGACAGAGTCTGATGACGCTGACCATGACCAACCTCAAGGACGAGGATTCCACTGTTTATTTCTGTGCCAAAAATTGGGATGATTGTTGTGCTCCTGCTGCTGGTGAGGATATTGACTGTGGTGATGTTGGTCATGGTGGTTTTGGCCCTGCTCCCATCTTTGAGTCCCCCCTGTCCTCAAACCCAGACCCTCCCCCCAAACCTCAGGCCTTGACCCTTTGTCCCCATTTGCCCCAATGGTCAGCACTGACCCCAAACCCTCCCCTGCTCCTGCCCCAGAACTCAACCATTGGCCCCAAACCTTTACCCCGGCCTCCAGTTCAGGCCTCCTCCAATCAGGGCCTGGGGAGCTGGGGGAGATTTGGGTGAAATGGGCAAAACTGGGGGAAATTCGGGAGTTGGGGCAAAGATGGTGGACACTGGGGGAGAAGGTCAAGAATGGGGTCAAGGGTTGGGATTTGGTGCAGGATTTCGGGATTTTGGGACATTTGGGGAGCCAGGGATGGGGGTTTGGGGCCACCACCAGCATCATCACCATGTCCAGAGCTCCAAGAGAGGATTCCAGCCCAGCCCCAAGGAGCAGCCCCAGACACTGAGGCCGCTGAGGGAGAAGTGAAGCCCCAGGTGGGAGCGAGAGAAGGAGGGAGGAGAGGACGCCGTGATTTTGGGGCTCCGCAGCCTCCCCCCACTTCCTCCCCGGCAGCTGCCAGGGCCCGGCCGGGGCGGGAAAGGAAACAGAAAGTTCCTGGTTTTGGTCATTGTGAACATCTGTGTTTGGCAGAGGGCAGCTCAGCCTCTGGGTGCTGCGGCAGAGCGCCGGCTGCACAAAAAGCTTTGTGTGCAAAGGGCCCTGGAGCGATCCCCGTTTCGCACTGGGATGGAGGGGAAGGGACAGACTGGGGAGGAATGGGAAAAATTGGGGGAAATTGGGAATTGCGGAAGTGATGGTGGAGTTTGGGGAAATGGTAAAGATTTGAGAAAGAGGGGTGGGGATTTTGGGGAAGGATCAGAGAATTCTGAGATATTTGGGAAGAGAGAGGAGAGGGCTCGGGAGCATAACCACCATCAACACCATAAGCAGGACCACCACCACCACCATAAGCAGCACCACCACCACCACAACTACTGCTGTAACATTTGGCACAGAAATAGGATCCGGAATCCTCGTCCTTGAGGTTGTTCATGGTCAGTGTCACCGAGCTCTGCCCGGTGTCCCTGGAGATCCTGAACCGGCCCTGGACCGATGGCACGTAGCCGGTGTAAGCACCAGTGTTGTAGATCCTTGTGAGGTATTCCAGCCCCTGCCCGGGTCTCTGCCGCACCCAGAACATGTCGTAGCTCCCGAAACTGAACCTGGACCCTCGGCAGAGGAGGTGCAGGGACCCCCCGGGGGGCTGGAGGTCCCCCCTGCACTCCAGCAGGGTCACGGCCGCCCGGAGCCCTGCGGGACAAAGGGGAGATGGGGATGAGGCCAAAGCCTAACCCTTGACCCCAAAATCCCAACTACTGGCCCCAAATTGTGAAGACTTTGTCCTTCTCCTCCTGATCCTGGCCACCCTCCAGAATGGATCCCATCCTTTTTTCCAACTGGCCTGGATGACTTGGGGACTCTTGACCACTCAGGTTTCTCATCCCCATCTCCCCTTTGTCCCGCAGGGCCCTGGGCGGCCGTGACCCGGCTGGAGTGCGGGGGGGACCTCCAGCCCCCTGGAGGGCCCCTGCGCCTCCTCTGCCGAGGGTCCGGGTTGGATTTTAGGAATTTTGGGATGGGCTGGATGAGGCAGAAGCCTGGGCAAGGACTGGAGTTGGTGGCAGGGATCAGCACCAGGGGCAGCACCATGTACAGCCCATCAGTGCGGGGCCGATTCACGATCTCCAGGGACAACGGGCAGAGCTCAGTGATGTTGACCATGAACGACCACAGGGACGAGGATTCCGGACCCTATTTCTGCACCAGGTCTGCTGATGGCAGTTGGAGTAACAGTGCTGGCCATGGTGACAATGACAACAGAGCAGCCCTATCCCCTTGTTTAAGTCCTCACCTGTCCCAAGCCCCTGACCAGTGATCCCAAACTTGCTCTGCCTTGACCCCAGTTCTCATCCACTGACCCTCAACCATACCTCCAGACTTCAAATCGCCTCTGTGTGCACAAAAACTTTATACTGAATGCGGATATTTCAGGCCAAGGTTTAAGGTTTGGGTGAACTTTGTAGCCAAAATCAGGGTGAGAATTTTGGCCAGAGCCACTCCAGGGTTGGGACACGGGGTCAGGGATTTGGGTTTTGGGATAGAGTGGGGACACAGAGATGAGATCAGGGTCAATATCACCAACACCAAACCCAGTAAGAGAACCCGAACTCCCAGCAGCATGTTTCGCACAGAAATAGGATCTGGAATCCTCGTCCTTGAGGTTGTTCATGGTCAGCGTCACCGAGCTCTGCCCGTTGTCCCTGGAGATCGTGAACCGGCCCTTGACCGATGGCGCGTAGAAGGTGCTGGATCCACCCTTGTTGACCACTCCAACCCATTCCAGCCCCTTCCCGGGTCTCTGGCGGACCCAGCTCGTGTCGACATTTCCAAAACTGAACCCGGACCCTCGGCAGAGGAGGCGCAGGGATCCCCCGGGGGGCTGGAGGTCCGCCCCGCACTCCAGCTGGGTCATGGCCGCCCGGAGCCCTGCGGGACACAGGGGAGATTGGGATGAGGCCAAAGCTCAACCCTTGACCCAAATCCTGAACCTTGGCCCCAAACTGGGACCCTTGGAGTTCATCATCCTCCTCCCAGGTGGGTCCTGCCCCTTTTTCTAGCTGGCCTTGCCCACTTTGAGTCCCTCGACCAATCAGGTTTTTCATGCCCATCTCCCCTTTGTCCTGCAGGGCTCCGGACGGCCATGACCCTGCTGGAGTGTGGGGGGGACCTCCAGCCCCTTGGGGAGTCCCTGCGCCTCCTCTGCCGAGGGTCCGGGTTCAGTTTCGGCAGTTTTGGGATTGGCTGGTATCAACAGAGACCTGGGCAGCGGCTGGAGTACATTGCACAGATCAGCAATGGTGGTTACACCGAGTACACGCCATCGGTCAAGGGCCGGTTCACGATCTCCAGGGACAACGGGCAGAGCTCGGTGACGCTGGCCATGAACAACCTCAAGGACGAGGATTCCGGTGTCTATTTCTGTGGGAAAGCTTCATGCTCTGGTTGTGATCCTCATGCTAGTTATGTTGACGATGCCCGTTATGGCCTCCAGCTCCGGGTTCTGACACCACTCCTATCATTCAGTCCCCAAAGCTCTTATTTTCATCCCAAACCTCACCCATTAACTCAGCCCTTGACCCTTTGTCCAAAATTTTCCCCATTTGCACCAAGGTCCAGAACTGACACCGAACCCTGCCCTGCTCCTGCCCCAAAACTCAACCATTGGCCCCAAACCTTCACCCCTGGCCTCCAGTTCAGGCCTCCTCCAATCAGGGACCGGGAGCTGGGGGAGATTTGGGTGAAATGGGAAAAATCATGGGGAAAGTGGTGACTTGCGGCAGCGATGGCAGAGTTTGGGGGAAAATGGCTGAGATTTGATGGAACTGGTCTGGAATCTGAGGGAAGGGTGTCTGAGGATTGGAGAAATTCGGTGACCCTCATGGACGGTGGGGCCACTGACGGAATCTTCCCCAAAATCAGCAGAAGCACTCCAGCCCGCACGATCATCAAAACGTTTGGCGCAGAAATAAGCTGCGGAATCCTCGTCCTTGAGGTTGTTCATGGTCAGCGTCACCGAGCTCTGCGCGTTGTCCCTGGAGATCCTGAACCGGCCCTTGGCTGAGGCGGCGTACTCGGACCAGCCACCATTGTTGCTCATACTCGCAACGCATTGCAGCGACTGCCCCCTTCTCTGGCAGAACCAAAACATTCCATAATTCCCGAAATCGAACCCGGACCCTAGGCAGAGGAGGATCAGGGACCCCCCGGGGGGCTGGAGGTCCCCCCCGCACTCCAGCAAGGTCATGGCCACCCGGAGCCCTGCAGGACAAAGGGGAGATGGGGATGGGGCGATGCAAAGTCGAGGACGGACTGCCCAACTAATTAATGGGTGGATTGGAGCTAATTGCAGTTTTGAAGGCACATTACAATACTGGAAATCTCTGTTGGAGTTTTGAGGCCAGACCAAGCGAGTTTGGGGCTAAACTGACCAAGGTTTGGGGATGGGGGAGCGGAGAAAGGGTAGATGAGGAAGAGAGAATGAATCCACCCAAGTGTTGATTCCTGAATGCAGATCCTGATGTTGGTCCCAATTTGTGGCACTTTCTCCTCCTCCCGATGCTTCTGGCCCTCCCAGGTGGGTCCAGGTCCCTTTTCGGATCTGGTCAACCCCAGCCCAGCCTACGCCTGGGTCCAGGGCCTCATCCCCATCTCCCCTTTGTCCCGCAGGGCTCCGGGTGGCCGTGACCCTGCTGGAGTGCGGGGGGAACCTCCAGCCCCCCGGGGGGTCCCTGCGCCTCCTCTGCCGAGGGTCCGGGTTCAATTTCGGCAGATTTGGGATGGGCTGGGTTCGACAGAGACCCGGGCAGGGGTTGGAATTCGTCGCAGGCATTGACAGAGATGGATACACCCGATACCTGTCTGCGTTCAAGGGCCGGTTCACGATCTCCAGGGACAACGGGCAGAGCTCGGTGACGCTGACCATGAAAAACCTCAAGGACGAGGATTCCGGATCCTATTTCTGCCCCAAATGTGCTTCTGCTGGTTGGGGTGCTGCTGCTGCTGGTGCTGCTGTTGGACCCCATCCCCATCCCTGTGTCCCCCCCATCCCCATTCCCCCGATCCTTCCCTCCAGCCCTTGACCCCATTGTTGACCCCTATGGACTCCAATCTGGCCCATTTTCCCCAAATCTCAACCATTTGCACCCAGGTTTGGGAGACCTTCGTTGAGACTCGGAGCCAAGAGTTGAGGTACATGACCAGGAGCTGGGATTTGGGGCAGAGCCAGTTCAAAGCTGGGACACGGGGACAGGAATGGGGTCAGGGGCTGGGGACTGGGGGAAGGGGCTGGGGAACGGGGACATTGGGGGACACGGCCATGGCGAGGCATCAATGTCATAGGTGAGCTCAGGGTGACAGTGGCCCTGATTTGGGGCCAGGAGCTGAGATTTGGAGCAGAACCAGTTCAGAGGTGGGACAGGGGACAGGAATGGGGTCAGGGCTTGGGGATTGGAGGGAGGATCTGGGGAACGGGGACAGGGTTGGGGACATGGGGAGAGGGACAGGGCCAAAAAAATCAACAGCTCGAGCACCACCCCAACCTCCACTAGTTAAACGAGATTTCACGCAGAAATAGGATCTGGAATCCTCGTCCTTGAGGTTGTTCATGGTCAGCGTCACCAAGCTCTGCCCGTTGTCCCTGGAGATCCTGAACTGGCCCTTGACTGAATCCGCGTACCCAGTCCAACCAGCATTGTCCCAGATCGCCGCGATGAATTCCAGCCGCCGCCCGGGTCTCTGGCGGATCCAGCCCATTGCAAATTTCCCAAAATCGAACCCGGACCCTCGGCAGAGGAGGCGCAGGGACCCTCCGGGGGGCTGGAGGTCCCCCCCGCACTCCAGCAGGGTCATGGCCGCCCAGAGACCTGCGGGACAAAGGGGAGATGGGGATGGGAAACCTGATTGGCTGTGGCTCAATGTTCGCATGTTGAGATCCAGATGTGGGTGGGATCCACCTGGGAGGTCCAGCAGGAGAAGAAGGAGGAGAATGATGAACTCCAAGGGTCCCAATTTGGGGCCAAGGGTCAGGATTTGGGTCAAGGGTTGAGCTTTGGCCTCATCCCTATCTCCCCTTTGTCCCCCAGGGCTCCGGGCGGCCGTGACCCTGCTGGAGTGCGGGGGGGACCTCCAGCTCCCCGGGGGGTCTCTGTGCCTCCTCTGCCGACGGTCTGGGTTCAGTTTCGGCAGTTTCAGAATTCAGTTCTGGGTTCGTCAGAGACCCGGGCAGGGACTGGAATACGTCGCAGCGATCAAGAACGATGGATCCAGCTACGCCTATGCATCATCAGTGCAGGGCCGGTTCAGGATCTCCAGGGACAACGGGCAGAGCTCGGTGACGCTGACAATGAGCAACCTCAAGGATGAGGATTCCGGTTCCTATTTCTGCGGGAAAGCTGCCTATGATACTTGGGGTGCTGCTGCTGATGGTTTTTACCCCATCCCCATGGCTGTGTCCCCACCTCTCCCGGTTCCCCAGACCCTTCTCCCAAACTCTGCCCCTCACCCCATTTCTGACCCCATCTCCCAACCCTGCCCTGGCTCTGCCCCAAATTCTCCACTCTCGACCACACAGTTGACCAAAATCTTAACCCATGACCAGAAGTATCCACTTTCAGAATCAAGTTTTGGGGCACAAAGAGGAGATTTGGGGTCAGGAGTTGTTGTTTAGGGTCAACGGGTGAGAATTGGGGCCGAGGCAGAGCAAGGTTAGGATCAATGGTCAAGGGCTGGGTGTGGGCTGGGGGTTTGGGGGAAGGGTCTGGGCAACGGGGACAGGGGGGGACACAAGGTAATGGGGACAGCACGAGCACCGTCAATATAATCAGCAGGAGCAGCACCACCACCACCAGGAGGTTTGACACAGAACTAAACAGCGGAATCCTCGTCCTTGAGGTTGTTCATGGTCAGCGTCACTGAGCTCTGTGCGTTGTCCCTGGAGATCGCCACCCAGCCCTTGACCGATGGCGTGTAGGCGGTGTAACCTACACTGCCACTGATCCTTGCGACAAATTCCAGCCCCTGCCCGGGTCTCTGGCGGATCCAGCCCATCCCAAAACTCCCGAAATCGAACCCGGACCCGCGGCACAGAAACGTCAGGGACCCCCCGGGGGGCTGGAGGTCCCCCCCGCACTCCAGCAGGGTCACGGCCGCCCGGAGCCCATCTCCAAATCTTCAACAATTTCACTCATAACTCCCCTGGTTTGGTCCCAAATCTCCACCAGATTTTTTGGGTATCCTGAGGTTCCTCAAAAGCTGGAATTAAACTCAATAATTTCATTAATAAATTGGACACCTTCTCCTCAGTGTTCCACATTGATTTCAAACGCAATAGCAGGTTAACAAGCGCCAAACCCCCCTGGGACCCCAACTCTGGCACATCTCGGCCTTGGCCTTGAGCTCCCTCCGGCTCCAGTCCCTGCTGCTCCTGCTGCCCCTCCCAGGTGGGCCCCGCCCTATTTTTTTGCAACACACGCACCTTTCCCCTTCTAGACCAATCATATTTTTCATTTTTAATCATCTCCCCTTTGTCCCGCAGGGCTCCGGGCGGCCGTGACCCTGCTGGAGTGCGGGGGGAACCTCCAGCCCCCCGGGGGGTCCATGCGATTCCTCTGCCGAGGGTCCGGGTTCAGTTTCGGGAGTTACCCCATGTACTGGGTCCGCCAGAGACTCGGGCAGGGGCTGGAATGGCTCCCGAGCATCTACAGCAATGGTGGCACCACCTGCTATGCGCCATCGGTGCAGGGTTTGTTCACGATCTCCAGGGACAACGGGCAGAGCTCGGTGACGCTGACCATGAAAAACCTCAAGGACGAGGATTCCGGATTCTATCTCTGTGCCAAGGGTGCTGATGCTTATAGCTGGAATGCTGCTGCTTATGGTGAAGACTCCAGTGGTGGATCCACGCCCCCATCTCAGTGTCCCCAGCTGTCCCCAAACCCCCAACAATTCCCCCAATCCTCAGCCCTGGGCCCATCCCTGCCAGGGGGTCTCTGTCCCAATCCCCACCGGGACGGGGCTGTGGAGACCCCTCTGGAGCCGTTTGGTTTCCCACCATCGCTCTCCTCACCGGGCTGTGGCCATGGGGAGGTGCCGGCGGCTCACGGCCCCGGCAGCACACACAGAACTCAATGGCGCAGCTCACCACAAGAGGTTTCTGGCCAATCACATAAAGCAAAGGCAGATTGACATGGTGGGGCCGGATCTGGGACATCGTCGTCAGTTTTGGGGAATTTGGTTGGGACATGGAGCCCAGAGCTGAGGTTTGGGGCCAGGAGCTGAGATTTGGGAAAGAGCCAGTTCAGAGTTGGGACAAGGGACATCAATGGGGTCAGGGCTGGGGATTGGGGAAGGGTCTGGGGAACAGAGACAGGGGGGAAACAGCGATGGGGATGGGGACAAAACGACAGGCAACATTCTCCCAACCAGCATGATCATCAACACACTTGGCAAAGAAATAGGATCCGGAATCCGTGTCCTTGAGGTTGTTCATGGTCAGCGTCACCAAGCTCTGCCCGTTGTCCTTGGAGATCGTCAACCGGCCCTTGACCGACAGCGCGTATGCGGTCCAACCACCATTGTAGCTGATACTCGCGAGCCACTCCAGCGCCTGCCCGGGTCCCTGGCGCACCCAGAACACGTCATAGCTTCCGAAACTGAACCCGGACCCTCGGCAGACGAGGCGCAGGGACCCCCCGGGGGCTGGAGGTCCCCCCCGCACTCCAGCAGGGTCACGGCCGCCCAGAGCCCTGCGGGACAAAGGGGAGATGGGGATGAGGCCAAAGCTCAACCCTTGGCCCAAATCCTGACTCTTGGCCTCAAACGGGGACTCGTGGAGTTCATCATACACCTCCCAGCGGGTCCCATCACATTTTCCAGCAGACCACATGCACTATGAGACATTCAAGCGATCAGGTTTTTCATTTCCATCACCTCCCCTTTGTCCCGCAGGGCTCCGGGCGGCCGTGACCCTGCTGGAGTGCGGGGGGCACCTCCAGCCCCCCGGGGGTTCCCTGCGCCTCCTCTGCCCAGGGTCCAGGTTCGAATTTGGGAGTTTCTCCATGTTCTGGATCCGCCAGAGACCCGGGCAGGGGCTGGAATGGCTGGCCGGGATCAGCAGTGATGGTGCCAACACCTTCTATGCGCCATCGGTCAAGGGCCGGTTCAGGATCTCCAGGGACAACGGGCAGAGCTCGGTGACGCTGACCATGAACAATCTCAAGGACGAGGATTCCGGATCCTATTTCTGTGCCAAATGTTACAGCAGTGGCTGTGGTAATGGTGCTTATGCTTATGGTGTTGATGGTGGTTGTGGTCCCAAGCCCTTTTTTCTGTGTTCCCACAAATCACAGCATTCTCTGATCCTTCCCTTAAATCCTGGCTCTTTTTCTCACATCTCAGATATTTTCCCCCAAACTCCACCATCACTTCCCCAATTCCCAATTTTTCCCAATTCTCCCCAATCTCCCCCAGTTCCCCTCCATCCCAGTGTGGAACGGGGATCGCTCCAGGGCCCTTTGCACACAGAGCTTTTTGTGCAGCCGGCGCTCTGCCGCAGCGCCCCGAGGCTGAGCTGCCTTCTGCCAAACACACATGTTCACAATGACCAAAACCAGGAAATTTCTGTTTCCTTTCCTGCCCCGGCCGGGCCCCGGCAGCTGCTGGGGAGGAAGTGGGGAGAGGCTGTGGAGCCCCAAAATCGCGGCGTCTTCTCCTCCTTCCCTCCCTCCCTCGCTCCCACCTGGGGCTTCACTTCTCCCTCAGCGGCCGCGGTGTCTGGGGCTGCTCCTTGGGGCTGGGCTAGAATCCTCTCTCTGGAGAAAACCCCCTTTTTTTTACCCAAAAAACACATGAAATTTTGGGGAAATTAAATTTTTCAAGTTGATCTCGAGTCGAGGGTCCCATGCTGAGAGAAGCAGTGGGGTGCAAGGGTGGAGTCACCTGGAACGTTCCATCGGTGAAGGGCAGGGTCAGAATGGCCAAGGAGAGCTCAGGAGCCAAAATGGCCCCGAGTGGGCCCCGAGCTGAGGTGTGGGGCCAGGAGCTGAGAATGTGGGGCAGAGTCAGGGCAGGGTTGGGGCACGGGGACAGGAATGGGGTCAGGGGCTGGGGACTGGGGAAAGGGGATGGGGCAGTTGGGGACAAGTGGGGACACAAATATGCGTGTGGGGCCAATACCATAGGCATCATTATCAGCAGCACCAGCACCCTTGGCACAGAAATAGGATCCGGAATCCTCATCCTTGAGGTTGTTCATGGTCAGCGTCACCGAGCTCTGCCCGTTGTCCTTGGAGATCATGAACCGGCCCTTGACCGATTGTCCGTAGTCGGTGTAAGCACCATTCCTGCTGATTCCTGCAAGCCATTCCAGCCCCTGCCTGGGTCTCTGTCGACACCAGCCCACTCCAAAACTGCCAAAACTGAACCAGGACCCTCGGCAGAGGAGGTGCAGGGACCCCCCGGGGGGCTGGAGGTCCCCCCCACACTCCAGCAGGGTCACGGCCGCCTGGAGCCCTGCGGGAAAAAGGGGAGATGGGGATGAGGCCAAAGCTCAACCCTTGACGTCAATATCCCCACTATTGGCCCCAAACTGGGACCCTTGGAGTTCATCATCATCCTCCTCCCAGGTGGGTCCCAATCCTTTATCAGGCTTGACCCTCCCAGTTTTTTTCCCTGGACCAATCAGGTTTCCCATCCCCATCTCCCCTTTGTCCCGCAGGGCTCTGGGCGTCCGTGACCCTGCTGGAGTGCGGGGGGGACCTCCAGCCCCCCGGGTGGTCCCTGCGCCTCCTCTGCCGAGGGTCCAGGTTCAGTTTTGGCGATTATGGAATGTTCTGGCTGCGTCAGAGACCTGG